CCCCCCCCCCCCCCCCCCCCCCCCCCCCCCCCCCCCCCCCCCCCCCCCCCCCCCCCCCCCCCCCCCCGCGTGACCCCGCGTTCCCCCACGGCCGCCGTTCGGTCCCCGGTTGCGGGGCGGTTCTGCCCGGGCCGGCGGTCGCCGCCCGGTTCGGCCCCGCGTTTCCCCGCCGGCCGGGGCGCCGCATCGAGCCGCTCCCGCGGCGCTGCCCGCTCCCTCCATTGTGTACACGGGAAGGTCACCGGTTCAGGCCCCGTCTGTCACGCCGCCCCCCCGCGCCTCTCCCCGCAGGGCCGTGTCGCGGCAGGCGGTGCTCGCGGCCTTCCTCCCCCCTCCCCCCGTTCCCCCCGCGGTGCGGGGCCGCTCCGCGCTTTGTGCGTGGCTCCGCCGTAGGACTGCGCCGCACATTTCTGCTCTTTGTTGGCAGCGCACGGCCGCGCGCGGCGCTGGGAGAGCCGCTCGGCTCCCATTGATCTGCGCCGGGAGTTCGGCGTGGGGGGGCTGCGGGCGGAGCGCCGTCCCCTTCGCGCCCCGCTCCCGTAGAGGTTCCTTCGGCCCCATCCGCCCGCGGCGCGATGCGGTGCTTCGGCAGAAGCGGCCCCGCGTCGGGGCCGGCCGGGAGGAGGTCGCTGATGGAGCGAGGTGCCGTGACCTGTAGTGGAGCGCGGCCGGGGCTTTTGGGCTCGGCCTCTGCCCCCGGGCCGCTCAGCTTTCTGAAACGCGTTTAGATGCGAAGAAACGGCTCGCTGAGCAGAAGAGCGGCCGAGGGACGCGCGCTGCGTTGGAGCCGGGAGCGTCCCGGGGCTCAGCGGTGGCATGGCAGCGCCTCCCTATTGCCTAGGGACCTTCCCCCCTGAGCGGGACCCGTCTTTCCCTGCTTTCCCTTGGCGGTGGTAGGAAGATCCGCTCCGCACCGCATTGCTCTCGGCCTCGGGCAGGCGTTCCCACGCGCGGCCGCACTCTGATTCGGATTAAGGCGCTGCTGATGCAACGCGGGTGCCAGATGTAAGGCGGTAAGCCTCTTTGTCCCCTTTATCCAGAGCCTTATGTAAAGAGGATGGTATTTATGGTCCCAGGTACATCGTTTCGGGGATGCGTGGCAGCACGTGCTCGGATGCTCTTATGTGGTGCGTAAGGGAAATGTGGGCTTTGGGGACTGCGAGGCGTGGAGCAATTCCCCACTGAGCTCTGGGTGAGGTCAGTGCTTGGGTGCACAGCAAAGCCATCTCCCTGACTTTGGTTTGGGAGGGAGATGGGGCTGTCCGCAGCTCTGCCCCGCTGGCTGCCTGTGGGATGGCTTGGAGCCGTTTGGGTGCGTGCCTTCCCAAAGCCCAGAGAGGTGGCCCGTGTGAGTTGGTTCTCCCATGGTGCTCTTACTGTGATGCTCCACCGGCACCCTGTGCGGTGGTCCGTCTCCCTGCAGCGCCGTGCTTCCATCGGGCGGCCGCGGCGGTGGGCACCGCTGGTCCCGTGGTTAGAATGGGATGGAAACTCACCCCGTGACTTCAGCTCTCCTGGAGTGTTTTTGTGTTCAATGTAGCATTTCTTTGAAGGAAATGTCCATCTCACTTCTGGCAAAAAATCTGTTTGCTAATTGTAGCCAAGGTGTTGCTTTGCTTTTGCTGCAGCTGAGCATCCCTCACGTGCTGAGAAAGTCGGCCTCACCTGAGTGCCAGGTGTGCGGGCAGGCAGGAGGGCTGGGGGTCAGCGCAGGAAAATCTTACAGTGTTAAACTCCCGACTTCTGCAGTTTGTTTCCTCCTTTCTGGAATAAGAAGCAAAAAGGAGAGGAGAGAGAACATTGTGCTTTTACATAGTGGGCATGGGCAGGCTTTGCAGCATGGGATTTCCCGTGGAGCTGCCATGGGCCGCTTGGCCTCGTGACAGCCGGAGGATGATGTCTGCGTGCCACGCTCCATAGGGTGTGACGTCGCTTTGCGCCGGGACAGTGATGGATCGGTACAAAACAAGGCGATTTGGGGACCATTTCTGTACATGAGATGTCCCCTTCCTCGGGTCTGATGGAATGGAACCTCTCTGAAAGGAGCCGGCGTGCTGCTGGCACAGCGATGGGAGCCGTGGTGGGCCGGGGCTCTCCAGCTTCCTGCAGAACGGTGCCTCTTCAGACAGCTCTGCGGCTGCGGTGGGACTCCTCATCCTGGAGATTTCCTCTGTATTTTTCTGGTTTAGACATTCCTTCTCTTTGTGCCCATTGCCACAAGTAATTAAAACTGGACTACAGCTCGAAAATAGGCCAAGTACACTTTGATGCATGATTCCAGCTTTTTTTTTATTGTGTTCCATTACATGCTGGCTAATTCACAAAACTCGGTCATTTGCAATGGGCCATTAGCGTGAATTAGCAACTTTCTAATGTATATCATAGCATTGCAAATGGGCTTTATTAATCTGCGAAACGCACCTATTTATTATCCTTCCCATAAGAAAGAAAGAAAAAGGAGGAGGGGGGAAGGTAGAAAAAAAGTGCTGTTGGGATTTCTTGCTCCGATCCTCAGCGTGCCGCGTTTGTCACTGCTTGCGTGTCTCCTCCTGCGCTTCGCAGCCTGGCTGGCTTTTCCCAAAGCGTTCCCAGGCTGGTGCCTTGACAGCAAGAGGGATTGCAGCTGCACCTCCGGTCTTCTGCTGCAAATGAAGCCTCCGCTCGTCTCGCCAAGGTGCCCTAATTGCTTATTGAGTGAGGGGAATTAAAGGCGTTAATAGGAGAAGTGGCAGCTCCTTCATTTTTGGAGTGGCAGAGAGGTGTTCTTTGTCCTCTGAAGGCTGAAGTGTGTAAGCCTTGGGGTAGCTCCAGGCGCTCTCCAGTGGGTGAGGACAAGCTGCCCGTTCTACGTGAGGCTTTGCAAGGGTGTAGCCAGACCGGTTTGCAGTCCGCACAGCTGCCTTGGTTCCAGTTTCTTGATGGAGAGGGAGAACCAACTCGCAGATTTGTCCCGTATGTCCCTGCGGGAAGCATCACGATGCGCTGCTCAGTGCCAGGCTTTGCTCAGATGTCCCTTCTCCAGTGTCTGATGGTATTTTTGGCGTTCGGTGGGAGCAAACTGTGGGGCACTAGGAGTGCACCTGTGCTGGGTCCAGGGCATTCCCAAGCTCATCTTGGCTGGACGTTGTTTGCAGGGGTGCAGATTTTGGGTGAGGATGGTGCTGTGATTTTTGCTGCTTTTGAACCACCGTGTTTAGGCTGCCCAGAGCTGTGGGTGCCCCATTCCCCAGAAGTGACACGGCCTTGGATGGGCCCTGGGCAGTCTGAGCTGGGGGTGAGCAGCCCATGGCAGGGCTGGGAGCTGAGCTCCATGGTCTCAGTGGTCCCTTCCAACCTGAGCCATTCCGTGATTCTGTCCCTGGTTCTGGACAAATGTGAGAGCTGAGCTTGCAGAGAGGGAGCTGGCTCAGTTGTTCCCCTGCTTGTTCCTCATGGCAAGGTTTCTCAGTTCCTCTTTCCCAGCCACGTTTTGGGAGCGCTGGGTGCGGCATGGATGTGGACCTGTGGATCTGGGTGAAGCTCTTGGCTGTGTTCAGCTCTTAAATTTTGAGTTCTGTGACGTTGTATACCCTGTGGCAGGACCTTGAGACAGCAATTTTGGCCATGGGGCTGCTTCCATCCATCCTCACACTGCAGAGAGGGAGGGCTGAGAAGAACATTTGTCTGTTGTCCTACAAGGGAAGGAGAGTAAGTGATGCTAGGTGCCTTCACGTGGCTCTGCAGGCATCAGTGTGCCTTCCATCGAAGTGTCATGTCCCAGACATGGGTTTGTGCTCTTAAAGTAGGAAGTTCTTGGATTTCCCTGCATGGTGGTAAAGGAAACCTGAGTGGTGTTTGATTCGGTACGGGGGTAGGCAGCTGGGAAACAATGCAATGGCTGCAAAGCACCAGAACAAAGTAATTGTGAATCTGAAGGTGTGCGTGCTCAGGGCGAACAAAAAAACGGTGACTTTGGACACTTCCAAAAGCCATTTGAGGATGAAAGAAGAGTTGTTCCCGTTTTTCCCATCTCAAGACACTAGAGGAGGACTGAGATGTTTCGTCCCTTTCCTTTTTCCCTCTCTGTGTGCCTCACACCGGTGACGTCGCTGCCGGTGACACCGGGCTGCTGGGGCTGAGGGGTGCTCTGGGCTCTGGCTTTGCTCGGTGCCTCCTTTGGGAGTGCTGGGCTTTGTCAGCCGCCCACTGGGCTCCTGCTGAGCTGTGCTGCATGTTGGAGCAGAATAAACATCAGAGGGGAGAAGAGTTTTGGCTAACACAGCAAAACTTGCTCTTCAGATCTCATGCCGTGTGCCCGTATCTCATTGTATCTATGGATTCTTTGCAGTGATTTAAATTCCACCTTGCTGGAGGGTTGTGTTTAGGGGTTACCAGCAGGTGGGGAGGTGGATGCGAGCTTGAGTTCTGGTCTGAACCACAGCTTTTGCCTGCTGATGTGTGTTACATTGGTGTGCACTGTGTGTTTGGAAGTGGGCGAGTGTCACGGCGGATAGATCTGCTAAACTCTGCTCTGCAGTCCTCCTGCCCCCCTGCACCAAGCGCCTCTCGCAGCACCCTGCTTTTGCACCGCCACATTCGGCTTTCCCCAGGAACGCCAGCACATGACTCAGCCGCTGGCGCTGCCCCACGTCAGGTTCATCCCCGGTGTCACAGCTCCGCCGGCGGAAACTTGGAGTCCCGGCGTAAGTTTCTGGAGCGCTCACTGGGCTGCAGTGCATGCTGGAAGATGTAGTCCCGCCGGGGTGCACCTCCATATTAAACGAGGAGGGTTTGGCTCCATTTTATTCAAATGGGGCTCAGCCTGCTGGCTTCTGGCAGTGTGCCCACGCCATCCCGCTCCAGCCGGGAGCTGCCGGAGTTGTGCCGGTGCCCAGTGGGAGCGCAGCTCCTCCGTGTCGTTGGGTGCGCCTGGCGACGGCACGGGGCGAGCACAGAGCCCTGCCTGCCCCGGGTGGCACTTGAGGAGGGTGTCATGGCCAGGCGCCTTTGTCTGCTGCGCCTCGAGTGATGCACGGGGGAGAGCAAACCCTCCTCCCTGCTGGATTTCTGGAGCTGAAAGCAGCAAGTGAGTGAGGAAGCTCCTTTGTGCAGATTTCTCCGTCTCCTCTTGTGTGTGCCAGCTGGCTCTCATTCAACATTTCTCTTTTTTTTTTTTCCTTTTTTTTTTTTTTTCCCTTTCCTTTTTCCCTCCTCCATCTCTAGAGAGAGGGGGCGGGGAGAAAGGGAACATCTTAAAAAGAAATCTGCAGAAAAAGACACAGGAGTTAGTTCGCAAAGATCCAACCCAAACAAGCCCAGCCGGGGGATTACGAGCACAGTGGCCCTGGGAAGGGGAATGCGTCCCCTCAGAGCTCGCTTTGCTCGTAAAAGGAAACAAAAAGGGATCTGGTCCTGGGACGGCGTGTGGGGAGAAGGGGCTGGGGGCATGCCTCGTGGCCAGGCCCCTCGGGTCCCCACGGCTTTCTGTCCCCTTCGCCTCTTCTCGCTTCCTGAAAGTTATGCAGGGTGAAATTAGCAGTCAGTCTGTGTCTGGGAGCCACCAGAGGCTGCTCCTGGAGCACACGGGGGTGAGCCAGCCTTCTCCATTGGGGCAGGAGCAGTACTTCCTCCAGCATCCCGCCGCCCCTCCCTGGATTCCAGAACCACGGTGCAGGGCTTGGCCAGATCCGGCGTGCTGGAGCACTGAGAGCTGGGGCTCGTGCAGCTTCCCGGCTCTCTGCTGGGTGCTTTTTGAAGTACTCTGTTCGAATGCTTTCCTCTAGGTGTGTTTGCAGTTGGCTGCTTGCTCCCAGAGTGAACTTTCAGGTTTGTCTCTAATATGCTGGCTCCTTCCCAGCACGGAGATGTGGATTGGAGAGGTCTCGGCACCTAATGGAGCTGAATTATTCATGTCTGGTGCTGCGTGTGCGCAGCATTCCCAAGCAGAAAGCTGTCTCCTTGTCAGATCTGTGCACCAGGACTGCTCTTAAAATGCTGTGCTGGCAGGGCTCCAGCCAACAAGTGAGCACATGCTGCTCGTGTTGCACGGGGATCCATCCGGCGATGGCGGGAGGTGAGTGGCAGTGTGAGGCGTGGGGACCTGGACAGCATTTGGGGCTGTGGGAACCACTTTACCTCCTCATATGTGGGTTGGCTTGCAGGGAACCACCCCGCATTGCATTTTGGAGTCGTGGGCTGGGACGTGCTGCTTCTTCCCCGTTCTTCTTTGCGGTGCCTTCAGTGCCCAGCCCGTTCCAGTTGGTCCTGTTTGAGCTCTTCCCTGCCTGGCAGGGCTTGGGCAGCCTCCTCCATCAGGTGCTTGTGTTCTCCCCATGTTTGCTGAACCTGTTTGCTCCTGGCTCTCTGAGGAGCCGGTGGACTTGTGGGCTCCTTCTGCCTTTTGTTGTGGGAGGTTTCAGCAGCTGTTATCACCCACCGCTGCCGTTTGCATAGCTTCAGACCTAAGTCCTTGTCTGCTGCCTGTGTTTTCGATGTTTCACCGTGCATTGGGGCGCTGCGGGGCCGGGTGTGCTGCTGTGCCCCCCTGTCTGCACAGGGCACGGGACCACGGCTCCAGCGTGGGCTGTGCGTCACGTTTGGAAAAGGAAGGGCCTGGGTGCAGAGTGGGATGTTCCAGCCGTGTGTGCAGGAAGGTGGGCAGGAGGAGGAGGAAGGTGAGAGCAGCGCGCGGGGAGGCTTGGGGCGGCCGTCAGCACACACAGAGCTCCTGATTCGGCACTTTCTGCTGCTGAAATGAGAGGTCAGTGCTTTTCATTTCCAGCCTGCATGCTCGCCCCTGGCTCCTGGGGTTCAAGCTCTTCGTAATGACCTGTCAGAGAGTGGATTATTGGCTGCGCGGAGCCAGGGATGCTGTGGGGAGCAGATGGAAAATGGTCTGGCTGCGGCAGCCTGTCTGATGAAAGAATCCTTGGCATTTTTACAGTGTTTGCATCTCTGGAAACGCACCATGAAGCTGCTTTCCAGGCTCCTGCTTGCTGGAGTTTGAAGAAATCTATGTGTGCGTGTGTGGTTGTTGGTGGGTTTTTTTTGTTTTTTTTTTTTCCTTCTCCTTGTTTCTCTTGAAGTCACCTGTTTTTGAAGTGCTGCTCATCAATAGCAGCAGGCCTCGGGCACAGCAGAGTTGGAGAGGGGCCTCATCCAGACGGGGCTCAGGGCTTCCTCCCAGCTCTGCAGCTGCACGGCCGGGTGCTGTGCTGCGGCCCTGCACGGCGGTACGGCTCAGTGCTGTCCCGGCTCAGTGCTGTCCTGCGTGGCCGTGCGCCCCGGGGCTGGGATTTTTTTCCCAGGGAGGCACTGAGCCCCGTGCCTGGCAACAAAGCAGCCCCCCCAGGCAGCCCCCGACCGTGGGTGGCATCGGCAGGAGAGGAATCAATCCTCCATCCCAGGGCTGCGCTCAATAATTCAGAGGGAAATGGCGAGCAGGGAATGTGTGAGTAATGTCTTGTTGGAGCCAGGAGCTGTGACCTGCCAGGGCCTCGCATCGATCGAGGGACTGCTGCCAGATGGCTCCTGCTGTTGCAGGGAAGTGAGGACGGTCGAGGGGACTCGCACCCTGCCACCGCTGGGGCACGTGGTGGCAGTGGGGCGAGAGCTGGGTGCGGCTGCCCCTCTGTGCCATCCTTCCACATGTAACTCCTCTCTCTGCTCTCCCTTCCAGCAGCGATGCCGTCACCTGGGCAGACCCCGAGCGCCGGCAGCCCGAGGACGTCGTAGCGCTGCGGACCCCGGGCAGGAGGCAGGGAAGAGCCTTGAACCGTGAGGGGCCGTTAACTCTAAGATGTCCTTGAGCAGCGGAGCTTCCGGAGGGAAAGGAATCGATGCGAACCCGGTAGAGACGTACGACAGCGGGGATGAATGGGACATTGGTGTAGGGAATCTCATCATTGATCTGGACGCTGATTTGGAGAAGGATCAGCAGAAATTGGAAATGTCGGGCTCCAAGGAGGTGGGGCTCCCGGCGCCCAACGCGGTGGCGACCCTACCTGACAACATCAAGTTTGTGAGCCCGGTGCCGGGCCCGCAAGGCAAGGAGGGCAAATCCAAGTCGAAAAGGAGCAAGAGCGGCAAGGACAGTGGCAAACCGGCCCCGGGCAGCTCCCTGTTCACGGCCGGTGAGGGAGCTGGAGGCAAGAAGGAGGCTCAAGGACGCTCTGGGGATGGCGCGAACTCGGGGGGTTTGGGGCCTGCCGTCACCCCCAAGGGCTCAGAGAAGTCGGCCAAGGCGTCTCGCAGCGTGGCCAGCTCCAAGAAGGACAAGGAGGGCGGTTCGTCCAAAAGCAAGAAGGAAAGGAGTGAGGGTGCGGGGGCTCCGACGGAGAAGGAGCCTGGTGTGCTGCAGCCCTTGGCCCTGGCTGTGAGGGTGGGACAGTACGATGGTGGCCAGGGGACGGAGCCTGCTGCTGCCACCGAGCAGCTTGGGAGTATAGCTATTGACACAGGAGCTGCGCTCAACCCCTTGGGAGTTAAGTCGGAGCTGGAGGATGGGGAAGGAGAGTGCCGGCAGCTGAAAAAGGTCAAATCGGAGAAGGTAAGGAAGGTTCAGGCTGTGGGTGGAGGGGTGGCAGTGCCAGAGGTTGTTCTGCTCTGCAAGGTGCTGCTGCGTGTGGTGAAGGGCAGGACTGGCTCCTGTGAACTTCCCTGGTCCCTACCCCCTGCAGGAGGAGCCCGGAGGGATGCGTAGCTCTATGCCTCCTCTGGCTCCTGGAACAGTGGGCTTCCAGCCTGTTTTCAGCCACAATGGCCTTGCTGCATGTGTCAGAGCTCCCTGTGGTTCCCCGGGGACTTCTTTTTTCCCTTGCACCATTTGCTGATGAGGAGACCTTCATGTGCTGGTAAATGTGGGATCTGCACAGGCATGTGGGGCTGACAGGAGCCTCCTCACATGGCCTGCCAGAGGGGTGTGGGCTTTGTCCAGCTTGCAGCAGCAGTCAGCCCATGGCCACTGTCCTGCTGTGGGTGGTTCTTGTGCATTTCTCTGCTGCTGCGTGGCACTGGTGCAGTGGCTGGGCAGGAGCAGCACATGGACACACCCTGCGATTCAATTCCAAGAGCCCCGTGGGTTGCACTGGCAGAGTGTGCCTGATCTGAGAGCCCAAGCAGTGATTTGGGCACCCTCGGGTGCACCCTCTGTGTGCTCGTGCCTACCAAAGCCCCTTTGTGCCGGTGGCACCGTGCTCCTGCACTGGGGAGGTGTGCAGGGTTGGATTTCTGGTTGATGGTGTGGAAGTTGATGTGTTTCCTTTCTGGTTCTGACTTGCAGATTTTGGACACCGGGAGGGGGCGGGTGGGAGAGAGGATGGGGAGAGCTGCTGATGTCAGCAAGAATGGGGAAATGTCTGCAAAAGTAGAGCGTAGAGCTACAAAAATACAGGCAGAAGGCTGGGGAAGAGAATAGGGAATGGAGTGAGTGGCTCTAGGGTAGGTCAGGAAAAGAGGCCTGTGGGGCCATCAGCTGAAGCTTGTGAAATTAAGGAGTGGTGTGCTGTTTCTGTATCCTTCCCAGCACCAGAACCCAGGTGAATGATGCTGGGAAGAGGAGCAGATGCTCTTTTGCATGATGGATTCGAATGGCTGTGAAAAGCTGTGGATGCTGCAAGTTGGGCTTGTGGAGGAGAAGCCCACTGGGTACTCATGTGGGGCAACCGCTTCAGCTTGAGGAGTCTCTGAGGCTGATTACCATCTGGGGAGGGAGAGAGGGGGAAAAATAAGGGGTAGGGATCCCTCTGCATTTAGCTCAATCTGTGAGTCCCTGCTGCATCCTCAGCAGAGATGTGGGGGACAGGAATTGGGCTCAGTTCCTGCATGGAGCCTTGTGCTGGGCCTTGCATGTGGCCCAGCTGCTGAGGTGCAGCATTTGTGGGGAGCAGCGGTGCTGGCCAGCCAGGGGATGTTAAGCATTAAACAAAAGAGCCTCCCAGCTCTTGGCTGCTGCTCCGGCTTTGTTTTGATTGAGAGCTTGTTCAGCAGGAGGAGGGTGGTTTTTTTCTTTCTTTCTTTCTTTTTTTTTTTTTCCTGATGATTGTCCAGATGTGACGCTGCTGCAAACAAGGAAAAGGCAAACAGAAGCTGCTGGAGGCTTGGTTCTGCACAAAACCTTCTCTGCATCATGTGCGCTGTGGTTTTGGGCAGAAGGCCTTGTTTGTTCCCCTGCAGATGCCATCACTGCGTTTTCATCCCATGTTCTCTCTCCTGAAGTCAGTGTAGCTTTACTCTGAGCGTTCTAGTGCTGATCTGAGAGTGAGGGGACATGGTAAGGGGATCCAAACTGTGCCTCTGCTCTGTTTTATCTCTGCCCTGGCACTCATCTCCTTGTTTGTCGTCTTTGCTAGCGGATGGCACAGCAGGTTCACAGTGCTTGGAACTTCCAGCTCCGTGCACCATTTTAGGTTCTGATATTTCCTCCTGGGTGGGCAGCTCTTCTGCTGTGATGCAAAATTATTTGGGCAGCTTCTCTGCCTGAAGCTTGGAGGAGCCCTCGGAGCCATTATGCCCATCTGTACCCCCACCGAGGTCTTGGTGCATGTCCTGCTGGAAGTAGGAGCTGGAGTCCCACCACTTCCACTCTTACAAAAACAAGCCCAGAGTGGCCTTCTTACCCAAAGATCATTGTTATTTTGGCTCACTGCTGCACCATGCAGGGGTTCAGCATAGCCCAGGCTGCTTTGTGGTGAGGATGAATGGGCTCAAGATGGTGGATTTGCAAGCAGATATGGCCAAGCAGGGATGAGGCATTGCATGCCCGCCCCAACGTTGTGCTTCAGCATCAGATTCTGACCCCAGTGCCGTGGGTGGTGGTGATGGGCAGTGCCCATTGTGGCTCTGCAAAGAACACCCTTAAAAAGAAATGGCCAGGTGCTTTACAGGCACTGTGGAGCGGTCTGTGTCCATCTCTCTCGCTCCTCCTTTTTCACCGGGGCTTTAGGGCATGCAGGGCGTCCAAACCCAACGCTCTGAGGTGCTCGAGGCTGAGGCTTCCCACCCTTGCTCCAGCTCTTTCCAGGGATCAGCAGCTTTGGCAGCCCCAGCCGGGGCCGAGCCAAGGGCAGCCAGGGAGCGCACAGCGGCAGCTGCCGGCTCTTCTCGCCGCGGTTTCCTTTCTCCAGCCATGCTCGAGTAAGCCGCCTCCAGAGCTGCTGACAGGGCTGCCTTTGGAGGCCTTGGAAATTACACTGCTCATTTCCTTATCGTCCCCTGACCCGCAGTGCAGAGCCTTCTGCTGCAGGAACAAGGCGAGGAGGGGGCACGCAGCCAACATGTGTCAAGAGCTACAAAGGAGGAAATTGGACTTGTTCACTTAAAACCATGGGGTTAGGCTCTGAGTTTTGGCTCCTGCTGAGAGGTTATTTATATGTGTGTGCTTTTTGTTTTTTTTTCTTTCTGAAGGCTGCTAGCAGTCTGGGAGCTTCAGCTGATCCCACTTCGCAAGGCATTGTAGCAGAGCGAGGGAAGTCGTGTCTCCTCCTGCTGGGTTTCTCGCGGGGCACAGCTGAAGGACTGGTTAGGGGCTGCATTAGCTTCCATGCACAGCTTGTTTGCATCACCAGGTCCAATTTAAGAGCTGATTTGCAGGGCAGCCCCATCTCCATCTCGCGGTGCAATTCCCCAGTGCTCTGGAAGCCGAGGCCGGCGGCTCCCTGTCAAGGACACGGCTGCACAAGCACCGCCGAGCAACCCGCTCCTGTTTGCCAGGCACGAGAGCGGAATGACAATGCAGGAACGAGGAGCGTGCGGGAGGGGGAACTGCTCCTCATTGAGGGACTTTGCACTGGGCTCACGGCGCTTCCTTGGCTGGGAGAAGCCATAAATGTGCGGCGTTGTGCGCTCTGCATCTCCCCAGCCTCGCTGTAGTCAGAGATGGGCCGCGTCCCCCAGCGTGCTCACCCACCTGCCTGGCTTCTCCTCCAAAGGAGACTCCTCGGCAGATGGTGGCTGCTTTAGATGGGTCAGATTGTGAGGCTAACTGGCTTTGGTGGATTCTCTTGCGTCTGTTGCCTTGCTTCCAGGCTGACGGTGGCTGCTTATTAGCCTAGTGACCCCTGCTGCACAGCACCATTTATCTGGTTGAGCAAGATTTCTTTAAAGGAAGATTCGCCGGCGTCTCCAGCTCCGTGCAGCCTCGAAGGCTTCAAACCGTGAGCTGCTCTCACAGTCCTTCTGGGGAGCTGATGCACGGGGAGTGTGCCAGGAATAATCCACTAATGAGCAAATCTGCCACTCCACCTGGCAGCCCACCATGCCCAGCACTCTGCTGGCCCTCCCTGTGCCTTTCCAGGCTGCCTTGGTGGGCAGGGTTGCTCGTCCTCTTTGTGGTCACCGTGCTCTGCTATGGGCACTTAGGGCTGGAGCTGGAGCCCATCCATAAGTACAGCTTCAGAGCATCCCTGTAACGCCACGGCCTATGGGCACACAGCAGCCAGCTGGCTGGGCTTTGAAAGGACGGGAAGGTATCTGCAGCCTGCTGATGTGCTGTTTCTGATGACTGTCTGCTGGAGATATTGCTGTCCCCGTTATTTGGCCCTACCTGGGGCTGTGCAGGGAGATGAGGGGTGACAATAACCACACTTGGGGCTTTTGAGGGTGAGACCGGGTTGTGCGCGGGCACACTGATGGGAGAGGAACTGCCACAAATCCGGCGCGATGCTGGTGCCAGCAGGTGCTGCAGGTGGAGTCGCAGCTACAAATGGTGGTTAGGCTTTTTGTGTCTGTCTGTGTGTGTTTCTTCTTTTTTTTTTTTTTCTTTTTTTTCCTTTCCCTTCCCTGTGCCAGAAAGCAATCTTGTTCCAGGAAGCTCGCTCCCCCAATTAGCGATGTAAATGCCGTGCTGTGATTTTTCCCAGGTGCTATGCAAACGAGCGCAGTCCCCGCTCGCCTCCATCTCCGCTTCCAGCTGGGAGCAGCCCTGCTCATCCCCCTCACCCCAGTGAGCTGAGCCCACGGGGGGGGTTTGGCAGAAGGGGACAAGGGCAGAGCTGTGGCTTGAGGCTGGGCAGGTTGCTTCTGAAGGCTGAAAAGGATCCAGTGAGGAGAGCGTGGCGTTGTGCCAGCGGGCTCTTTGAGGTGGTAACAAAGTGATCAGCGAGAGCTGGCGGGTGCCATCCTGGTGCAGGGAGACCTGCACGTCTGTAGGATGCCTTGTAGGGCGAGCGGCGTTGCAGAGCTTCAAGTGCTGTTTGCTCTTCTGTGGCTTGGAAGGGAGGAAAGCAAGTGTGTATATATATCACAGCCGTTTGCTAACAGGAAGGCTGCTTTTTTTCATTTTTTTTTTTTTTTTTTGCTTAGCTTACATTTCAAGGCACAGGAACTCTTTAGATATTTGGTGTTTTATGGTCTTTCAGGCCGGCTGTTAATACTACACTTTGTGTACAAGGGTGAAGGGAGCTGTTAAGGTAGGCCTTTGTAAGAAGGCCTCTGAGTGTCCGTTTGGAGGAAAAAACACTACAGCCACGAGCAGAGCATTGTGTAACTGCTGGGAGGTGAGCCGCAGTCAGGAAAGCTATGCATGGAGCTGCCCTCCAGTGTGCCCATGTG